AGGCCCCCCCCGCCGGTAACAGAGAGGATAGGGCGGCTGCGGCCGCGGCTGATGAGGTGGGAATGGAGGAAGACGACTATTACCGTTATGTCGTCGTGGAAATGTCTCCTCACGCCTCTCTCTATCTTTTTCAGATCCGAATATCTCATTTCTCTCTTCTTCGCTGCCTCTCTTAGCGCAGATTTGATCAGCTTCCTCGCAATTCCCTGCACAGAACGCTTATTTCTAGGTGATAAAACCCTAAACCCTAAACCCGAAAATCAGTTTAGATCATTGGGCTTGAAATCGGGTATTACCCGCAAATACCCGAATGAAAAGTAAAATGACACTTTACCCCTTATTCTTAATGATATTAACATCCAAACCCATCGAAAATCTCTTGAAATCTTGCGTTCAAGTTTAGATAACACGAAATTTTAGAGTATCCTACTCGAATAACTTCCTAACATATGGCCTACACTTTGAAAATAATTCAAAAATTCCGTATTCGAATTCGACTTTGGATATCCGCAGATATTAAAAAATGATAACTCGAAAATCTCGTATACCCGGCCTGTGCCCACGGTTTTCACGCATACTATACGTGATTCAACCAACCCACATAGACAGAACCCGAGCTTTTGTCAATGCTTGAAAAATGAGAGTTTTAGAATCACCCACACTGGCATCATGCCGGATGCAGAAGGAAGAAAGCAAGAGGTTGGTAAGAATCTTACGTTTCGTGGAGAGGTACTCACGATCTCGACCGCCTCCTGATTGCTTAGGTGCTCCCAAAGACCATCTGATGCGAATATAAGAAACTGATCCTCAGGCTGAATCTTGTGTACGGTAATAGCAGGCTCGGCTTTAAGGATCGGTTTGCTGAAAGGTTCCTGAACTCTGAACTTTGCTAACAGAGGCTCCCGGTTGAATTCTGCTTTCTTTAAGTAGGCATCACCGATCGACCTTGAGACCTGTGGGAATCAGACAATGGGCTGGGAACAGAATTCAAGTTCTTATAGCATAAATCCACTTAAGAATCTGACGATTCAGAGTTCATCTCTCACTATAGTTCTATACCCTTTTTAGATTACCTGATCTTGATGGCTCACAAAAATAATAACTTACCTGAATAATGCCTTTCACTCGCCAGACTTTGTGTTTCAAGACGACAATCTGAGGATCATCTGGATGAAGCAAACGCAACTCCTCTCTCACAGAGCCAAGACTTGCATTATGCTCGGAGGATAACTGAACAGCCTTGACCACTTTGTACGCTTTCTCAAGTCTTCCTAACACAACCCGAGAATCTCCCGCGTTTGCAATGTACAGCAATCCACTACATATAATTCCTACGAGGCAGCACGCTCCAACGGAAGCAATTTGGGGCATTGTCTGCCATTGTTTGCGCACAAGTGAAAGAAATTCCTCTTCTGTAGCCAAAAATGCTTTCGTTATGACAGAGGCCGACATTCCATGACTCTCCGATGTAAATTCTGCATCACGAATTGTTGCCAAGTTAGTAAGATACTTTTGTAGCTACGCCTACATAGAAGAGAGTAAAAGGGCTCAAGTTCGTACCTATAAAGTCTAAGCATTTGCGTCTCATAAACCCTAAACCTTACCTCAATGATTGTGGAATATGCAAGGCCCCGTCAAGCAGACAAATCAACCGTCGGATTGACAGAGGGTTCGAAGATCATATCTTCATTCCATTCACCACTAAGCAGGTATAAAGTATGTCTCTAAATCCACTCTTAATCTTACTTGTCTACAACTAAGTTCGACTAAAATCTTATTCAAAACCCGATAAAGAAAAGTTCTAGCTCTTTCAGAGATTTTTGTTTCTAGATCCATCAAAGCAACTAGATTTCAGTATGCCCGAATAATTACTACTGTCACACTCACACTTGAATCTTGATAACGAAAAGGGACATAAAATACACAGGAAGAAATGCATACGGAGAAGTGAAACGTACTCCTGACGTTATCGAAGAGGTGTTGATTGACAAACCGGGCAGCTTCTGGACCTCCATGACCATCGTATACACCGATAAAAGTTCCTTGAGGACCCGAATCAACCAAGCTCATCGGCCCCGACTGGACCTGACTATGATCTTCGAGAAGATTATTGGCTTGGATCACAGCCATCGAGAACTCCCCCGAAACATGGTGCCCTGAATCTTTGTACCACAAGAGCCCATCAATCCGTCCATTCGAATCCCCTTGTCTCGTGGAATTTTCTCCCTCACCAGAAGGTCTCCAACAATTTGAAACGATCCGCATAAATGACCCTGATACCATAACTCACATATCCCTCAATCTGATGATGATGACACCAACAACTAATGCTATAATCTTGTTGTTCTTCGAGCGTCTTTTTGAATCCTCCAATAGCGATGACGACAACACTCACAAATCAAACAGGCTTTGGTAAAATTCAGCAGACGTTAATCTGCATTGGAATGTATCGCCGCATACATATCAAAATCCCGGCCAGACTAATCTAGAGTAGTATCATAGAGGAAGAGGATAAAGCGAACAATGATTTTCGTATGGGGCATTTAAAATCAATCATCCTCATCAATGGAGGAGATCTTCCGGCACTTGTATTGCAACATGTTGTTCACTAGCTCAAACTAGAATCCGACAAACATCGGAAATCAGACTCGAGACTGGAATGAAGAATCATACCTTAAAAATAGAAACCTTAACGCCGGAGAACACCCATCTCCGTGTTTTGTCCGATCGAGAACCGCGAAACCAGGGAAGAACAAACAAAAAAACGATCGTTCCAAAAAAGAGAGACAGATCTGGGTACAAAGAGGGATCAAAATCGAAAGGGAAAAATGATTCAGGAGTTACGAACGAGAGATCGTAACTCCAATAGGGTTTGAGAGAGAGAGAGAGAGAGTGAGTTCACGAATCAAATCTCGCAGGGTCTCTGTCTCTCTCTGGGTTTGTTTAAGGCTCCATAAATTTTGATTTCGCTTTAGAGTTTAGGCATTGACCTCAGAAACAGCCCGCCGTTTTAGGCAGCTTTCTCTCCTCCAAAATTAGCAACGTCCTTTCGCATAATTAACGAGGTTTAATCATTATTTAATTATTATAGTTATAATAATCCTCGGGAAAAAAAAAACATTTTAAAACCCAAACTACTTCATGCTCTATGTTTTTTTTTCATACCTAACGTTATTTAGAAGACAATAGCTATTTCCTTGCGTATTTTTATGTGTATTTTTTAAATGGATTTTGATATATAAAATTTTCATTCTTTAATTATTGAACACAAATTACTAACAAAACATATCAAAACTAATATCAATGCATTAAATATTATTAAAAGTCATTTGAAAAGCTGGTATAACATCATAAAGATTTGAAAAACTATTTAAATACGTACTCAGCTAAAAATAAATATTTAAAAGCGCCATTTCATTTTTATGTTGTAATATATCAGTTCTTACATAACATTGTATATATCGGAAAACATTTACATGTTTAAATATATTTTGAAAATTTGAAATAAATAAATTTCACTTATCCTTCGTTTTTCCTAAAATTTAAATATGTTCTTAATTTTAAACGTTAACTTTTTACTAAAATCAAAATAAAACTTACGATTTAAAATAATTTAACCTCAAATGATAAGGTTTAATATGAAAGTGTCGAATTTTTTTATTTTACTTTAAAAAATTAAGATTTAATATGAGGTTTAAAAATGTGAACATTTCAAAATAGCTTGATTTTTCAATTGCATATATGTATATATATATATATATATATATGTTTGAGTTATTGAAACAAATACATAGCATAATCCACTTGTGATAATTAAAAAGGCTACGACACGTGGGGATGACCCCCTCGTGCTCGTGATTCGTCTCCATCGGCGTCTTCAACTTCTCCGTCTTTGCGCGTTGTCTCACGCGCCACCGTCTCTATTGGTTTTGGTTTGGTTTATCGTTGGATTTGTTCATTTGATCGTCTGATCTGTGGTTTAAGCGATGAGGAGAATCGATACCCTACGCACCTTTAACGTCTTTTTACTTTGCCGATGATGCATAACACACCATTTTTTTATACTCATCATCATCCGATGATATATAACACATCATCATGATCATCATCAGCAGCAGCACAACAACAAAAGCAATCATTCATCCACATAACAAATCTACAGTACCTCGTTAGTCCTTGGGCCAAACACTGGCTTTCTCTTTCTCGTATTTGATGAACAGAGCAGAAACAGCAGCAACGAAGTAAATCTGAATCAACACGATCGCAGACGTGTGGTAATTCAACACGCTCTTCCCCGTCGCCAGCTCCACCAGCAACAATGCCGCAAGCCCCAATCCCGCGATTCCACCGTTCACCCTTTCGCTGTAAGGGCTAAACCCTAACTCCACCTTCAACCCTCCCGACATCGATTCCTTCAGATCCACCGGCGGCAAATACATCCCTGACCCTTTATTCGCCGACCCAGTCGTCCCTCTCTTCGATTTTCTCACCTCGGCTTTTTTCCCCGTCCCGCTTCGGTATCGGAGTCGGATCTTCGAGAGGCGGGACTCGAACTGGTCCGGGTCGGGTTGGGTCTCCACCGTGGAGGACTCGACGTCGGTGGCGAAGAGGGTGAAAGGTCTCTGGTAATGGTTATGGCGGAGTTTGATGGTGGCGGGAAGATGGCGCGGTGATGGGAAAGGGTTTGTGAGGCGTAGAGGTGTTATAGCCATGCTTGCTTGTTGAGTCTCTCTTTCTTCTCTGTTTCTTCAACAATGGTTTTTGAATAATTTTTCTTATGATTTTGCTTTTTGTGAGTTTATGGTTGATGTGGACGAAGATACACCTCTGTTTGCCTCTGGCTATTCCTATTTGGGCTTAAGGCCTTTGGGGAAAAAAATATACAAATTATAAAAAAGAAACTAAGGGGTAAAGCATAGTTTTCTTATTTTGATTTTTTTTTAAAACTATGTTTATCCGATTTAAATGCGTTTGATAGAGATCGAATTTGAATATGTTGAGAGAAAAAAAATGATCCTGTCTGGTTAGATTCGATTATTTTTTTTTCATGTTTTTCGATATTAAGAAATTATAGTCATTTTAATTTATATAATGAATTTGAATAAATTTGGGTTGGATGAATTCCGTTTGAATAATGGAGTGTATATATAACCATTGCTAATTGTAAACGAGCTCACGAAATGGTAAACGCTCCTCCGTCGTGGTGCATCCATCCACTGCGTAACGACCAGGGAGGACATATAATATTCTCAACGCCTCGTCCTCGTCCTCGTCCGTCCCCGCCTACTTAATACTACAAAGACCATGTCCATTTCTCCTCCTTTTTCGCAAATCTTCTCAACCGTTTTTTTTTTTAAAATCAAAACACTAAATTTAATTCGAAATAAAGTTGATCATTTTCAATTTTTTTTATTAATTCGGAATAAAGTTGATCATAACTGAAACTTTCCATGAATTTAAAAGATTTTTTAATAAAAAAAATGAATCGAATTAAATTTGGTTTAGCACATTTAGTTATAGAAAAGACTCGTACCCTATGACGAATCCCCATATTTTGCACATAATTTAATTATTATGGACCATTTAATTTTGGTACATTCCCTCACGCATCTGGTGTAATCGAGTCATCGTAACAATTTCACACCAACTCCGAACTTAAATTGAGAAGAATTACAATTAAAATATACAAAACAACATTAAACAAAAGAAGATTAAAAATGAAAAAAAAAAAGACCATGCACAACAAAATAATCAATAGTCACCCACTTTCCTCCGAACAACGATACGTTTTTTTTTTTGTTTACCTTCTCTTGTTCTTGCTTCCCAAAAGCAACGAGAGGTAGAACAAGATCCTGAAGAAGAATCCCCAAGCAACCGTGACCCACAAGCAATTCCATTTGCTCAAATCCGTAACGCCTTGCTGTTGCAAAATGTCGTAGCCTGTCGTCAAGCAAGTCGAGCTCGTGATCCTCATCCCAAGCGATCGGCTCATCGTCTCCAGCAGCTTCACTTTCATTCCCCTGGGGACCGCCCTAAGAGGTGTGTTGTCAAATATCTGTATACCTCGGACGAAACATTTTGTCGGGTCGCTGAATTCGTTCATCAAGACGGCCTCGTAGGGGTACTTGACGAGGGAGATGTAGTGGAACCATATCCAGTACGAGGGTATGCGGTCACGGTTGATGAAGAATCCGCTGAAGAGTAAGAAGTAAGCGAGAATGGCCACAACAATGGTGTAACCGAGCATTACGTGAGGGACGACGCCTGACAGGAACGTGACGAAGGAGCTTCCGGCCCAGAAGGAGGCCAATATTATGAGGAAGTAGAAGAGGAAACCCATCAGACCGCCGTCTAGGCCGACTCCCCAGAACGTTGTGGCAGCAAATGCTAGCGAGAGGACAATCAATGCCGGGAGAGCAGTGAGAGAGTGCGAGAGAACATAAGAGGATCTCCGGTAGGCGTTATAAGCGGTTTCCCTCATGAAAATGAAGCGTTCTTGGAGGAAAACTGGGAGAGCGTCTGCGCAAGTGTAGAAAGTTGTCGACATTGCGAATGCGAAGAATCCGAGACGTTCTTGGACGCCTTTTGGTGAATTATCGAGTCGCCAGAACATGGTGGCTAGGATGAATCCGGTGATGAGAACTGCCCCGAGGCGGATACCGAAGAGTTCAGGCCTTCTTCGTGAGTTAGTCATCGACCTTCTCGCAAGAACCGCGAGCTCAACCCAGAAAGGGTTTGCGAATGTAGGTACACTAGAGACTGGACTCGATCCCGTGGTACCACCAGAGACTAGTTTGCCTCGAGAAATGCTGGCGCTGATGGCTTCTTTCAGAGATTGATTCGTGGCCTGAGTCGATGTTGGCTCTGCTTTCGTCTGGTTCCATCGCTTGTTGAATTCGACTAAACTTCTGGTTCCACCCGCGGAACCTTCAAGCTCACGAATCAAATCGAGAGCGAACTCAGTGCGATTTTCGTGCTCGGGAATTGGGTGTCCAAACTCTGCAAAGAACCGAGGCAGGACGGTAGGAGAGCCGCTGAAGACGGTTTGTCCACGAGACAAGAAGAGAAGACGATCGAGCAGTCCGAGAAGGCGATAACTCGGCTGATGCAAAGTCATGACCACCATGCTCCCACTTTGTGCGATTCTCTTCAGAACCTTTACAACAATGAACGCGCTTGTCGAATCGAGCCCCGAGGTTGGCTCGTCGAGGAAGAGCAGAATCGGGTCGTGGATGATATCAATCCCGATAGACACGCGCCTGCGCTCTCCTCCTGAGACCCCGCGGTGGCCTTCATCCCCGATCACAGTCTTCGCCGCATTTCTGAGGCCTAATTGATCGATCAACGCCTGAACTCGCAGACTCTTCTTCGATTTCGAGAGGCTCCGAGGGAGGCGAAATTCGGCAGCGAACATCAAAGTTTCTTCGACAGTAAGCATGGGAAAAAGCAAATCGTCTTGCATCACGTAAGCAGAAATTGCTTTCTGCATCTTCGAATTCAGAACTTCGCCGTTCAATGTCACGGTTCCTTTTAAGCTTTCTCTGGCGATTCGGTTAGCCAGAGCATCGATCAACGTGGATTTCCCTGATCCGCTGGCTCCGAGCACGGCAAGGATCTCACCGTCGCGAGCCTCTCCGGAGATTCCGTTGAGGAGAATCTTCGTCTTCGAAGAGAACAGCCTCTCCGCCGGAACGACGGCGGGATCCGCCGGGGGG